AGGGTTTACGGTTTAGGGCTTAGTGTTCAGGGGCTGATAAATTTCTAAGTTCAGAGATATGCATCTAAGGCTACCTGTACCCAAAATATCTAGCTTTTCAGGACTCTATGTTTTCGTTTCTATGAATAGTTCTTGAAAAGGCAAGTCTTGTGAGCCATAGTTATGGGTTACGAACTTAGGATTTGGCTGAGGCTTTCTCGGCCCAAGTTTCGATTCTCCAGCCTGCCCATACTCCCACAGCCGACTTGCAAAGGGTCTATTATGCTATAATGATAAGGAGGAACTCCCAAAACCCGATTCTGATTCTTACCCTAAACCCTAAACCCTAAACTTAAGGCCCTTATATTACTGCTTTTGGCGTAGAGCTTAAGAGCTCAAGGCTTGGTTAAGCGCTCAGAGCTGCCTTGAGCCGAAGCCGTACCTAGAGCCCTAAACCCTTAAACCCGAAACCGTCAAACCCTAAACCCTTAAATCCCAAAGAACCTACCTTTCTAAGGACATTATACAAAGAGACTATTATAAGGAACCCGTAACCCCAAAAGAGGCCCAGGTGAAACCGTAAACCCTAAACCCGAAACCCTAAACCCTAAACCCCGAACCCCAGGTGGGTTTTGGGGTTTTGGGAAGTAGTAGGGTATAGGGTTTAGGCTATAGGTGGGTTTTGGGGAGTAGTAGGGTTTAGGCTATCGGTGGGTTTTGGGGAGTAGTAGGGTTCAGGGTTTAGGGTTCAGGCTATAGGAGGGTTTTGGTTTTTTTTGGGTTAAGGTTTTTGGGAGCTTTAAAAAGGGCTTTACTAGGCTTAGGGCTGAGGGCTCAGAGGTTTGAGCTTAAGGTTTCAAGTTGAACATGTGGGGTTTAGGGTTTAGGGCTGAGTAGGGTTTGCATACTTAGGGTCTTGAGGATGTAGGGTTTAGGGTTGGGCTGCATAGGTTTGCATAATTAGGGTTTTTAAGATCTGGGTTAATAGGGGGTTTAGGGCTCAGGGGGTTTGCAAGGGGCTGAGGGATCGGAGGCTCCTCATCAGCCGCGGTCATCTGCTCCTTCTTTGCCGCCATCTGCAGTCGGAGATCTTTTATAGTATGACATGATATGGGTAGTATAGGGACCTTAATAATTAGAATAGGGTTTGGGGTATATCATACTATGGTTATTGTTTGGAACCCCCCAAAACCAAATTATTCTTATTAAGGCCCCTACATTAGTTCTCTAAATTACGTAGGGTCCCTTTTTAGGGTGCCGTAGTATTTGGGGGAGGACCTAAAGAGGGACTCAAATTATTTAGAGAACTACCCGTATGAAATTTCATAACAAAACCTAGCATCGTACAAGTGGTATGGCTACCCATAGGCTCCATAGTAGTTCCTTGTTGGGATTACCTTATAGGAGCCTAATAGAACGACAAAAAGGAACTACAAAGGAGCCTATGGGTACAGGGCACTCAACTCAATCCCTGGCTCTCCGATAGCCAAACACAGCTACTTTAGGGTTTAGGGTTTGGGGTTAACTTTTGAGAAACTGCGCGGATAGGGGTTTGAGGTTTAGGTTTCTGTTGAGGGACAGCAAGAAGCCTTCACGCTGAAGCCGCCAACCCGCACAACCCAAACAGAGAATAACCGAGCGCTAAACTACACACCTGGCTCTGAAACCCTCAAACCCGAAACTCGACATTCCCCTCTAAGTCCGAAGCTAGTTCAACCCACTAGAAAGCCCTCAACTCTGCAATGTAGTCTTTCGAGCATCCCTATCATCAAAAGGGTACCCTGTTCCCCCAAAGTGCCAACGGCATGAAGCTGCTACTGGAAGGCCCAGAAAACTTGAAACTTCGCATGCGAGAACTCTTCTGGAAAACCCTGCGTTCAACGACTGTAACTGAAAAAAAAAGTGCTAAACCCAACTACGAAGTACTACTGCTATAGATCCCCGGATAAGGCTCTCACGATGCCCTCATGGGAGCGTTGTTACCAAGGTATCTGGCCTGCGACTTGCCTGCACCGATTTGGGAGCGCATCGCCTTGGTTGGGTGGTTGTAAGCGCTTTTTGTTGGTTGCTTTGAAGAGCTGTTGGGGCGTATAAGGGACTGTGCAGGGCTTCATGGGCTCGACTGGTTTAGTCTATGAGCCTGCGCACCCACAGTGACCTTGTTCCGGGAATTTATGCCCAGCTGCCTGCCACCTTGCACTCTGTGCCAAGGCTGCCAAGGCCCGTCCGGTGTCCTTTGGGCTTAGCCCAAGCGACGACTCTGAACTGCGCTTGCGACCCCGCACTCCACGCCAGGACCCGCTAAGCTGCAACGAGGTCCGTAGGACCTCGACCTTCGACAGAACTATAGCACTTGCGAGCAGTTTGCCCACATCGACTTTAGTCACAACAGTGACTTGAATGAGAAAGCTCTACAGAATCGCGGCAGCCGCCACAAGGAGTACCTTGTCGCGCTTCTACACCGCCGTCTCGGCGGCGGGAGCGTCCTTGGTTTCTTCAACGGCCTTGATCTCTGCCGTCTTTACCTCTGCAGGACCATGGAACATGCCCCCGTGCTCCGACCAGTAGTAGCAAGGGCTGAGCAATGCCCAAAACATCACGTAGCCAGCGTGCACTTGGAAAGGAAGCAAGGGATCATCGATCGGTCGGTAGAAGCAAAAGCCTGCAATGACAGCTCCCAAATTCCCTCCAGCGCCAACAAGGGCAGACACCACGGCTAGCTGTGGCCTGTTCATGTCATGAAAGGCATAACATAAATTATCATTGTTCGTACTATTTATATTTTTAGTGTTACTATCATTTCTATATATTATTATATTGCTATTATTTGGTGGCCCAGGCTGACACATGGGGTTTAGGGTCACAGGTACATAAAAAAGAACAGCGTGGGTCTGCCACGGCCTGTTCATGAAAGGCACGATGCCATAGCTGGTTCCCTCCGCCATCTGGACAAAAAGGGAGAAGCACACCAGGACTGCCAAGGCCACATACCACGGCTGCGAGTTGTCCACGAGGCCGAAGCAGAAGAGGAAGATTGCTTCGAAGAAGAGGGACAAGAATTGTGCCCAGATGCGGCCGCGGAATCCCATGTACTTGAAGAGGATGTCGCTTGTAATTCCACCCAAGGACCTGGCTAAGACATTCACAACGGAGTCGCGTTTAACTGACTGGCGCCACGGCGAACAGGCAGTACAAAAGCTCAAAAGGTCACAGAAGCAAACCCTTGGGGTGACTAGCCAACACCGGCCTGGCAAACAGATTCATAAGGCCAAATGCTCCGGCTAGGGCAGAGGCATCTGCTGCATCCATCTGGAAATAGGTCCTGAAGTGCGTGGCCAACTGGTTGTTCATCGCCAGCTCCGTGCCGAAGCAAGCCGAGTACCTCACCGGCATTATCCGGCATTCAGAAAGCGCAGACTGGTTAAGTGGAGGCTCGCTTGTCAATGCTGGCTACTCGCTTGTGCAGCGAATAGACTAAAGGAATTCCTGTTTGCAGCTTGGCCACTGCATGATCATGACAAGCACCCTGAAGTCCGAGCACACTTCAACGTAGTCCCACATGGATGGCTTCTTAGTCTTGCCCGTCACGGACACGTCGAACCTCTTTGCGGTGGGGGTGTCCCAGCACAACAGCTTCAAGCACGCCGCCGTGATGACAAAGAGAACGGCAGGCACGATCATGGCCACTCGCCAGGCTGTGTCAGCTGCCATTCCCGAGCTCACCATGGGGTTAAAGAGGACAGAGATCATGAAGATCTGCGTGACACCACCACCCAGATTTCCCCATCCGGCTGCTGTAGCGTTCGCAGTTCCAATCACATTGGGCGCGAACATCAAGGAACACCAGAACTGGTTGGTCACGAAAGTGGCTCCTTCACAGGGGGCTGAG